TTGTATCGTCTCACCCCTCTATCATGGTTTTCCCACTTAAGGTGCCCCTACTTCCCCCCCTTTCTTCCTTACTAATACCCTTGCTCCTATGATCCTACCTCTGTTGAGTTTCTTCTTTCTCCCACTTTATCTTTTAAGAAAAACTTTTCTACCTCCCTTTTAGAAAAGTGAAATTACTTCAAGACACTGAAGGTGTCGCCACTCATTGAAGGTGTCACCACAGTCCCGAGTCGGTAACTGACCTGTGTGCTAAGCTCGTCCAGTTCAAAGGAGGCCTTTTCCTTGTCTCTCTTTAAAACTTCAATTTCCTTCCTATGGAAGAAGCAAATTAAAAATATCATTCTTACCCCTGGCTCAGTCCTTTCCTCAGCTCGGACTCACTGACTTCCAGAGACCTAGAGAGACCCTGGGGAAAAGCACGGCTGACCACTGTCATGTCAGGCTCTGCTGGCCCCAAAAGGCCCAGCAGCCTCCTTCCCCTCAGAACACCAGCTGCCCTAGCCATCAAATGCCACATGAAGCATTTCTGCAAGGTGACACATGGCATGTCCTGAGCTGCAGATGGGGTGCCAGTCATGAGACAGCTTGCATGCACTTAAGGCCTCCATGAGTCCTTGGTGTTCGGGAATCTGGGGGCTGCTGACCCACAGCATGAGGTTAGAGCCTTCAAGCCTGTAGGCCTACTCAAAGGTCCCCCGACTGTATACTCCACTCTACTTAAGCTCATGGTAGAGCACAAACAGTGAAGCCCACAGGTCTGGGGAAACTGAGGCCCACCTTACCTCTGTGCTTCATTTCTGCCCTCTGCAGCTTCTAGTTCCAATTGAATCCTCTCCAGGTCACTTTTCAAGAAAAAGTTTTCTTCAGAAAGTCTCTGAAACTCAATCCTGTGGTCAAAATTGAAGAAGTCAGTTGAGACCTGGAGTGGGGGAGCTGGATGCACCCATGGGGAGTTCTGAAAACTCTGCAGACTGCATTCCCCTCCCTGGAGGAGGCAGCATAAGGCCTTCCCTGTCTCCAGGGAGAGCAGGCTCCGGTTTGCATCCTCTGAAGTCCAGGCCTGGGAAACAGATTTACACTTACAGACTTAGCTTTACACTGCACCCCACCCACAGCTCCCACATGCATTCAGCACCTGGACTCTGCAGACACCTAGAGCCTGCGCAGAGCCAAGTCACACTGCATAGTGTGTGCCATCTTCAGAGGCTCCAAACCCAAAGAACCTGGAAGCTGAACCTAAGCTGTGAGAAGTACACTTCACAAAGCTGGGTAGCTTGGGGTGCAGCTTCCATGTCAGCAGCACCACCAGTGGGACACAGAAGCTACACTGTGGGCACCCACACAGCAGAGAAGAAAGCCCCAGGGGTCTCGGGTGAGCGGTGTCCCACTTCTCTGTGAAGGCAATACAAGTCCATTCTGAGAAAAGCATCCACTCAAGAGGCTCTCAAGACCCCTTGAGAGTAACATCAAATAAACATGAACACAGAAAGATCACTGAACATACATGAAAAAGCCATTCACGAGGGACCAGCAGAAGCAGCAAACCCACCCAGACCCAGATCCCACAGGAACTTCAGATATTAGAATTATCAGAAGACAGGGTGGTGAGGACATGACTCTATACCACAGACACCCTGGTGAAGGTGTGGAGGAGCACCTGCAGGTGAGAAAGAGCCCCCTGGACACAATGGGGTAGGCCTAGGAGGGGGCTGGGTTTCTAGCCCATCATAAACATGTCAATTTAATTAAAAAAACATTTTTCTTGTTTGGGTCTTGATTTCTGCTTGTGGTGTGTTTGTCTGTCTGTCTTTCAACTATTAAGCCACGAATTCATAGGGAATGGGCTCAGCTTGGGCTCCTTTCCTTCAGTGCCCACAGAGCCTTCTTTCTCCAGCAGAGCCTGCCGGCACCTTTCTTTTTGGAGTCCTTTTCACATTATTTTCCTTCACCCATCTCAGAAGGCTCTCTCGGCTCTTAGCGTGCTTAGTATGTGCAAAGTACAAATCACTCTCCCAACAAGACTCCTGCCCTTAACTTGCTCGTTTACATCTGTGCCAATAGCATGTTGAGTGACACAATGTACTCTTCTAGTTGTACCAAGGTAATGTTTAGGAGTGTTCCTTTCTGAACAGCACCCATTCCTCCGATGGTGACAGTACCATCCTCCTTGTAGATTCTGTATATGTGGCCAAAGGAACAACTCCATGTTTTTTAAAGGTCTAGAGAACACAGATCAGGTACCTCTCTTCTTTCCCACTATGTTATTTTGGTGAATTACTGGAAGATGGTACTTCCAGCTGAAAGGAAGCCATATCTGCTTTTTAAGCTGTTGGTGGACCAACATTTACCACTCCTGGCTTATCATAATTTCTACCTAGTTTTTTTTTTTTCTTTTCAGTGCTGGGGCTAGAACTCAGGGCCTCACACATATTAAGGACATGCTGTCACTGGCCAAAGCCTAAGCCCCCCATTTTTCCCCTAAGGAAGCAACTTGTACACTATCCCTCAGTGAGCAGGAGTTGATCTTTTGGGTGGATTGTGGTCTCATCACTCATGTGTGATCATGGTCCTGGGATATACTCTGGGCCTCCTATGTGTCCCCAGCCTGGGCCTCCTGCAGATGCCTCCTTGGTGTGCTGGATAAGGGCTGATGGGACTAAAGGACAGCACGCATTCACCCCCCACATTACATGCCTACAAACTTCTCTAGCAGAGAAGAGCCAAGAGAGGGCTCTGGGAGCCATGCCTTGAAGCTTGGTAAAACCCTCCTAGGATCTCGCATCTATAACAGAGCAGGTGCCCAACTGTGTCTCAGTAGACAGAAATCTCAGTTGCCTTCTCAAGGAGGGTTTTCCAAAGACACTGGCAACAACACCATCTCCACCCTGTGGAACTGAGTCCCTAAACCCATAGGTGGTACCCAAACCAAGTCAGAGCACTGCAGCACAGAGGCCCTTTCCACAGAAGGCCTCCTCAGTTGCTGCCCCTGACCAGCACAGCAACCTGGCACACAGGTGGCCTGCAGCCCCTAAGTCCCTGCTTCTCTTAAACTCAGCAGGAAGAAGGCTCACAAGATGACACACAACTAATATGAGGCCTCCCAAACACAGTCCTTGAGAGATGAGGGGTGAGGACACCAGAGTCATCTGAGCTGCCTCAGAATGGCCTGCCTTCTTCCCTGAGTCCAGGAGCAGGGGTGTCAGGAGACAGGAATGGGCTCCTTATTCCTGCACAGGCACAGGATTTACAGTCAGCCTGACAGTCAATAGCTGGCCAGTAGGGTAAGACTCTGCCATGGTCACTAGGGAAAGGCCTAAGGGCTTCATATGCATTTTAAGACTGGGGGGACAGACCTGTCATTCATTTTGGAAGCTGCTTCTTTCTCAATAGCCCGGACAATGTCTTCTAGCTGTAGAAGTTTGGCCTTCACATTGTTCCTTTCACCCTCTGACACTGCTTTGGCCTCTGTCTCCCCCGGGGTGGCAAGGTCCTTAAACTTGGCTTCTTGTGGGTCTGAGAGCTCAGAGCAGGGCAGCGAGGGTCCCATCATGACAACTTCTCCACTGAATTGGAGCCCAGTCCTTGGGATATCTTTACCATTCCCAGTCAGCCCCTCTGAAGCCTGTCCCTGAACCCCCACAGGGGCTGGTTCCCTGCTCAGGCTACTAGCTCGTCCCTCCAAAGCAGATGGACTCAACCGTGACTCCAACATCTGGGGCTGAATGGGCAATGGTAGCTTCTGTGCAATGGGCTGGCCCTGGCTTGCTGGGACCCTGGTAGGAAGCTCTGGCTCCTTTGGGATGGCTCCCTCCTCAGAACTGAATGGATCTTGATGGTTCTGTCTAAGGCCCAAGCTCTTCGAGGGCCTCCAGAACACTAGAGTAGGGGTTGGGCTCTGCATAGCATCTATACTACAAGGTGGGTTAAGAAGAGTCCTGCCCTCGCCTTGCACTTGGCCAGGCCAGTCTGCTGCTAGTGGTGGCCCTTTCTCTCCACCAAGGCCAAGAGCTGGTTGGGCAGGTGACTGTTGTCTGCTATCTGGACCCAGGAGCCTGGAGCGGGTTGCCCTCTCCTGCTGGGCACCCATCACAGTGGTTCCATCCTTCAGGAGGGCATGCAGTGCATCTGCCTCCTGGGCAAGTCCCTCCACCTGCTCCCTGTAGGTGTGCTCCAGCTTCTGCTTCTCCAGGGCGAATGATCTGTAGATCCGTGCCTGCTCTTCATTCATCAGAGTCTGCAGCTTCAGTTGCTGCCTCCGACACTGCGCCAGGACCTCCTCCTTCCTCTCCTCTTGCCACCCCTTCTCCAGGTCCAGTTGGGCAGTCAGCTCCTTCACTTGCTGCAGATACGTCTGCAGCAGCTGGTCCTTCTTGCGTTGGTGCTGCAGGGACAGCCTCTCACAGCAGGTGGCATGCTGGGCTTCCAGCCACGAAAGCTTCTGGCTTAGCTCCTCTTCTGCCTCTCTCCTGCAGAAACACAGTGAGTCACACCTTGGGCTCTGCCTCTGAACCCCACGCACTTCCACTCATGGAAGAAAAAGCCACCTAAACTAAAAGCCACCTACTGAAAGCTAATCAATTACACCTCCTCCCCTTTCTTTCTGTAGCCTTCCTTATGTCCCTATACCCAGATCTTCTGTCTCCTTCCTGGAATCCTCTGTGGAGTCCACAGGTCTATGCCCAGAAATCAACCACCACGTGTGATAGCTTAAAGGTAAGGGGGTTAACAATTACATAAAATTAAAACTCCTGCCCTTGGCCACTCGGGAAATGCTCAGTTAAGTGTGGCTGGAGGCACTGCACTCAGAGCTACTGGATGGTACTAGTCTCAATTGAGTATTAATAAAACAGGCAGCATCTACCCACACTTAAAACTGCCTTTAAAAATCCTATATGCAGACTGGCCTGAGGCCTCATCAGCCTGGGGAGAATGGGAGAGTGTGGAAGTAAAGTGAGGGCTAGGCAGGCATGCCTGGCCAGGGAAGGAGCTCCCCAGAATGAGGACCCTGGAAGCTGTAAGAAGGAGGGTGCCAGCCTTCAGGCACCTCAGGGGACCAGAAGGGAGCTCTGTTCCAGTCCCTTTTCACACACCCTTGGGGTGATGAGGAAAAGCAAAGCATGTGATTTAAAGATGGCTGCTTCTCCACCCTTCAAGACCTCAACAGTCAGTTCCTGCAAGCCTCTAAATGGCCTGAGTGTCTCTGCTGGTGTCACCCTAGAGGGGAGGGAGAGGGGAGCTCTGATTCTCACCCCTTCACATCTCATGTTTTCTGGCTACCCTCAACTCCTTCCACCAAGGAAAGTGGTCATCTCAACAGTTAAGAATGTGACCTCTTTGCGACAGTCACCTGAGCTGCTGTGATCAGCATGATGACAGGGCCACATCTCCTCAGTGCCAACATCTGGACCTAAACAGCCCCAATCGTCCAACTGAGTCATTTGCTTAGTTTGGGCCAGTAGGAGGCTCTGGGCTCCTGGGATGGGAGTGGCCAGGGCAGGAGGTAGGAGGGGCCATCTTTTGTGGGGGTAGCATACCCTCTGTAAGCTGTGTATTCTCAGTAATCAAGCACTGATTCTACCAAGTTGGCCTTAAGGCACAGAAGACAGGTGACATTTCTCAGGTAGCTAACCTGATTAAGCCCATCATATTCAGGTTTTCCAAATGACCCCTTTCCAACTTAGTACAAATGTTTTGGCCTTCCAAGACTCACTAACCAAATTAACTGTGTTTCCATTTGGAGGGGCTTCTTGATTTTTTTCTCTCTCTCCAGTTCCTACTCTCTGATGTCCTCGATATTAAGTGATGGAGTATATGTTACCTTGCCTATGGGGCACCTAAAGAAAGAGGGAAAGAACAAAGGCCAAGTGCCACACAGCAAACTCTCTGTGGTCCAAGGTAAAGTAAAGTAAAATCATTACATAGCAATGTGTTCTCTTGGCCTTCATCCATCTGCCCAGAGGAAACCTGCCTGTTCCTGGGCACTGCGATCCTGACCTTAGTTTACCTAAACCTACTGTCAAGCTTTGGTTCTTGGTGAGCAGCCCTGGGCCAATTCCCCCTCTCCAACCTTATCTGCTGCAGCTGGTTCTGGTGTCGCAGGTGCATCTCCTCCTCCAACCGCTGGCCCAGGTTGCACAGTGCCTGAGCACAGCAGTGTGGCAGTCCCGCCTGTGTAGGTTCAGGGCTGCGTGTCATGTCCTGCAGCTGCTCCTGCAGGCCCAGAATGACTTCCTGTGACTTGGAGTATAGGGCCTCCAGGTCTGTTTTCTGGTCCTCCAGCATGCTGACCTCAAGTTGGCACTCTTGCTCCATCTCCCTTTTCTCCTTCTCAAAGTCCCTCTTCATGACCTCTATTTCTTTCTTATAGTAATTCACCTAAAGAAAGATGAGCAGGGTTAATTAGAAAGTCCTAGAAACAAATTGGCAAGCAGAATGACACAAGAACAGGAGGATGCTCAAAGAGCTGATGCCTCAGACCCAATCATGCCCCAGGTCTGGAGAAGGGAATGACAACACCCAGGACAGCGATGTTCCCAAGGTGTGCAATGTGCTTATGTCATCCCACCACAGTGACCTGAGGAGGTCAGAGGCTTAGGGCCAAGGTGGGCTGAGTAACTGACAGGTATGAAGAATCCAGGAGGTGAGACAACTGAAGAGCCTTCCCGAGACTGGTGGGGTAGTACGCCATATCCTGGAAGCTCAGACAGAAAGGATGTGATTCAGATATGCACAGGCTTCACGTCAGAAGCTTGCAGCCTATTCACCACGGAACCTAAGGATACAGTGGCAGGACAGAAGTGGCCTGCCTTGTTAAGCAGACTGAGGAGTTGGACATACAGCTGTGAGTCATAAACACTGACTCTCAAACCCAACAGAATCTAATGCAGAACAGAAAATAGGTTTATCTAACAGGACAAACTCAGCCAGGGAGGTCCAGGACACAGAGGGCAGAGGCCAGATCACTCACATTTGTCTTAGAGCATAGCTAGTCACTGTGATTCTCGACAGTGGACAGTGAGGGCTACTCCTAGCACATTCCTGTGTGGCTCTTGGAACATAATCCACCCCTTCCTCATTAGTGATTTCCAAGTCTGCCTCCCTCTGAAGAGGGTCTGAGGCAAAATGCCAGTTTTTTTTTTTTTACTGTTCTTTACAAACTCTCTTCCTAGAGGGGGGTTTGTACGAGGCAGTCATGTGATAAGCTGCCTGGCTTGCAGCCTGTAACCCCAGACCTTGGTCTCCAGCTGGATCCTGAGGTCTTGGTAGTGTTCTTTCATCCGCTCCACCATTATCTCTGTCTCTAAACTCACTGGAGTAGAGTCACCCAAGAACACATTGCCTGCAAAGAGGAAGACACACTGTCACATTATGCCAAGGACTCCCCAGGTGCCTTCTCAACCTTCTAATCTGACCTGTGGACAGTTTCTATCCTGTCACACCTGGTGACAAAACAGTTCTCCACCTGCACCGTGTGTTGAGTGCAGGGCTGGCCAGAGGGTCACTCTGCCATCCACCTGCACTGTATAAGGAGTATGGGGCTGTTAGTAAGAGTCAACTCTGCCCTCCATATGTATTGTGTGAGGAGCATGGGCATGGCAGTAAGGGTCATGCTGTTTTGCAAGTTGACATATCCAGAACTCAAAGGTTCAAGTCTTTACCACAGAATCGATTACTCAGAAATGGAAAGCTCCCACAACATTCACCAAGCCCCTTTAACTTCTAAAAGATCCTTGTCAGATGGTATATTCACTGCACCCTAAATATGGCTCATCTAGAGCCAAGTACACAGAGGAAAATAGGGCAGGGTTACGACAGCTCAGCAACCAGTGTGGTGGCTCAATGTGATTTGTTTTTTACAACATATACTAATGTGGGGCTCCCTCACCTAAAGCTGCTAAATCCTGGTGGTGTGAAGGCTCTGAGGGATATAGAGCAAGATGGGACCAGCTCCACAATGGTCTCTCCCCACACGACAACGGCGGTTATGTGCTCTGTGCAACTCAGGTTCCAGAGACACCGCAAGAACAATAATCACGCTCTCCCCTCTGGCTGGGCTCCTGGCTGCACAGCATATTCAGGTGACCGCACCCCAGCACCTGCTTTTTCCTCCCTCACCCATACATGGGAGTGTGCCAAGCAACCTTCTAGTCCTTCCTAAAACTTCCCAGGGATTCTGGAAGCTGTCCATGATCCACAGAGGAAAAGGTCTCCACTAGGTTCCTCATGGAGGTTCCAGTGCTAGCTCTCTGGGGTATACTTTTTTCTGCTTAGTATGTAAATAGCTTTAGAGCAACATGGAGGCTCCATGTGCTCTCAGAGCCAGAGACAAGAGAACAATACTGAAGGATCTGAGTTGCCACAACATGACTAGGGGAGTAGTCGGGGCTGCCGGGTCTCCACGGCAGCAGAGATGGGGATCATGAGTGTCACAAGCTGTTGCTGGGGGAAGCACGACTGAACAACTGTTCTGGGGACTGCCTGGAGCAACCAGGGGGAGGGGGGGACAGAGACCAGCCAAATAGCCCCTGTCCTCCACAAGAACTGCAGCACCTTCATGATCCCCAACCTGGTCTCCAGAAAAGGTCAAGAAAACTTCAACATGGACCTTTGTCTCAGCCCCACTGACTGAGACGGGAGCCTCTATTGTGGTCTCCACTGAACCCAGCAGCCAGGAACTCCCTCAGTTGAGACTACCTCATGCCCATCAATAGTCACCTTGACCTTCCCTATCTGTGGCTTTCTGCTAGCCTGGTCCCCTGTGGTCTCACTGGATCCATTATGAAAACATCCTCCTAGGGCAGACTTGTCTTCCCTGAGATCAGGAGATCACCATAACCTTTGTGATTTCCACTCAAATGGCAAAACCTTCTACCCTTCTCTCCTCATCTCTGACCTCTAGGGTGCCATGTCAATCAGTGTCTAGTCTTGTGGTCAAGTCCAGGAGCCCCACCCTCGCCCTCAGGGCTGGGCTCCTACCTGCTGGACCATGTCCAGGGAGCATTCTTCTATGGGTACTTGGGGTCCCTGAAGAGCTCTGCCTACTCCCAGGCAGGTGCATCCGCAGGCCTTCTAGCTCAGCTTGTAGCTCGTCATTGTGGTCCTGAAGGTCCTGTTTGGGCAGAGCCAGACACCTCTTCCAGCTGCTGCAGACACTCTGGCCTACAAGGCCAAATCTAAGACCAGTCCCATCTCCAAGGAGTATCCACTATAGGCAAAGCATATGGAGAGTCTGGCAGGTGTGAACTCTGGACTTCCAATATATAACACTGAACCTGGATTTAAGCCTCTAACCACCTAAAAGGTCCAGCAGAACTTGGAGGCCATTTCTTGACTTTCTCATGCCTTACATCAGTGGATATGGGGGGGGGGTTCAAGAAAAAAAAAGTACAGCTGAGGCAAAATGTGGAAAATATAGGTGCTATTTAACACCACAGTGGTGGCACAGTGCATACTGGGGATCAATATCCTGGGGACGTCTGAGGCTCTATGGTGGGTCTCTCTCCCTCAGCTGCTTTGAACTGGCAAGGGGTTCTGCTGCTACAGTCATTAATACTGAAAAGGAGGCCACTTATTTTAGAGCAAATGCCACAAAGCACAGATGCACATAGCAAAAAGGATGATAGCTGGGAGGCAGAAACCCAAAGGGTGGGAGGCTGCCTGGGCAACAGGAAATGGGATGGAAGAAGATGCCCTTCAAGCAGGGATGAAGTCTGTATTTGTGGTGGACAGTGCCTTGTTTGCACATTAACAAAATATGTCTGGACAAGCAGGCTCAGACATTTGCTTGTTAAAGGGACAGGAAAAGAAGTTTCTAGTCCATTTCCCTGGGTGGTTCAGTAGTCCTGCAGAATCTCAGGAAGCATGGCAAAGTTAGCCCTGGCCGGAGGCCCTTATCTCCAGTCCTGTGATTGCTCCAACCTAAAGAGCAGTAAAAGTGAGGCCACAGGTCTTCCAAGGTCATACTATATACAACTACTGTGCAAAGGCACAGTTCCTACACTGACCTTTGAGTTTTGTTCTGAGTCTTTACAGCCTTCTCCAGACAGCTCTTACTGAACAAAAGTAACTTGCAACCAGCCCTAGAGGCCTAGGCCTGCCAGATGCATCAGAGCATTTGAAAGAGGCCTCTCCCTCAGTCATCCAGTGTGTGGAGAAGGAATGGGCTCATGGAGAGACATACGCCTCAGATTCAGAATCCTGTGCAAATACTCTCATTTCTCCCAAAAAGAGAACTGTCCTGAGAAAAAACAGATGATGAAATCAGAGCTATAGGGCCAGCCCTGGACCACATACTCCTTGGGTCCCTCAGGGGCTGCTGCCTCCCTGAATACCAAGCCCGGAATTGCCTAATACAGAGCCACTGGCGAGATGGGCTACCAAGCTCCCAAAGTATGAATATAGATTCAATTTCAAAGACTCCAAAATAAAGAGATGTAAGCTATCTCAATGGTTTGCTTTTACTGATTCTGTGTTAAAATAATTTTGATACATTGGATTAAATGGATTATTTTCAAATTAAAATATTCTGTGTATGGAGGGGGGAGGCAGAGGCAGGCAACTCTCTGTGAGTTCAAGGCCAGCCTGGTCTACATAGCGAGTTCTAGGCCAGCTGGGGATATGCGGAGACGCTGTCTCAAAAAAAAAAAAAAAATTAATGCTGTTAGTTGGAAATAGCCAAAAGTATTTTCTCGAAATAGAAAAAGCAAAGTTTCTAAATAAACAGGTTATCACTAAAAGGTTAAATATTTCTGCTAATATCTCAAAAAAAAAGAAAGTTCAAGAACCAGAAACAAAAGTCATGTTAAAGGAACAAAGTGTTTTCATTTATTTGAAAAATCCAATGCACTGGTTCATAAGAAGTGCTGGTTACTTCTGAGTTCCAAATCTACTCAGCAAGTGCAGAGGCAGGAGAAAAGCAAGCCTGGGACTATGGGCTTTCCAGTGCATCCCACTTGATACCAATCCACATTCTGATAACCCCAATGCACACTAGAGGGAGCATGACCTGGCTGACCACACACAAGTTTTCAAAAGGCAGAAAGAGACAGTGCAAAAGGGTGACGGCACCCAAAGGACAAACAGCAGACCAGAGGCAGTGCACCACAGCCCATTCAGAATCACAACACAGCTCACCTTGACCTTCTGGTTGACAAAAGCAACATGCAGTGGAAACAAGTAAGTTCTTACTTAAATTGGAGGGAAAGATAATAAATGAACTCTCAGCCAGCTGGGCGCAGTGGTGCATGCCTTTAGTCCTGGCACGTGGGAGGCAAGAGGCAGGTGGATCTCTATGAGTTAGAAGTCAGCTTGGTCTACAAAGACTTCCAGATCAACCAGGATTACATAGTGAGACTCTGTCTCAAAAAAAAAAAAAAAAAGATAAAAGGGGAGAGAAATAGAGAAGTGAAGTCATTATAAACCCTTAGAACCAAATACTACTTTGCTTGTCCAAGGAGTATCCATGAATTAATTACCAGTTTCAAGGTAGTATTTGCTCAGTTTTCAAATCATATAAAATTACTTTGTAACTCTTGGTGCCCATAATAATGTCTATAATGGTATCTCCAGAAATAGAGGTTTTCAGCATGAGGTGGCTCAGGACAAAGCCTTACAGGAAACTAACTAGTATAAAGAATCACATATAGGGCTGGAGAGATGGCTCAGTGGTTAAGAGCACTGACTGCTCTTGCAAAGGACCTGAGTTCAATTCTCAGCACTCACATGGTGGCTACAAACCATCCTTAACTCCAGTTCCAAGGGAAGCTGAAGCCCTCTTCTGACCTCCATGGCAATGTATGACATGGGTGCACTTCCTTACATGCAGGCAATACACTCATACACATAAAGTAAAAAAAAATTAAAAAAAGAATCAGATATAACTAAAACCAGCTGTCTACTTCATCCTACACTGTGAACCTGGTAGTCATGCCTTCAGATAGATACAAATTATGGTGCTCAACTTGGAAAGGCTTGTATTTCTATTATTGTAGCAAATATGCAAGAAAAATGACGACTGAACAGTAAACCCAATGGACCTCCTTAGATTTTTTATTTTTTCCATGGGGTTTATTATTGAGTGGGTTTATTTTGGTTTTAGAGATCAAAGCTAGACCTCATACCTGCTATCTATGGGCTCTACTAATGAGTACAACCTCATATAAAACTTAAGAGTCTATTATCTGAGCATGTACATTACTTATCCTTGGTCATTTGGTAATGTTCCTCATATACAATTTTGTCTAGAATCACCGTGATCTCCAAGACTATGCAAAATTCTAGTCATAAATTAACAGTCATGACATGCTTTCTATCCCCTGAGATCTGACACATGATTATTTCTAGTTTCTACTGTTTTTACATGTTTGGATATAACCTTCTTGATGCCTATAATGTGAAGAAGGAAAATGGGTCAAGGGGAGTGTGATGGCTCATCTTAGTCAATTTCACTAGATCTGTTGAGATAAGGACTTGTTATGGTGCCCAGGCTGGCCTCAAACTGGCTATGTAGTCAAGGATGAATGACCATGAACTCTTAATCCTCCTGATACAGTCTTTCAAGTGCTGAGATTACAGGCATATGCTGACACACCTGGCTCAAGGCTTTAGCTCCTAGAGGCAAGCAATCCTCCTACACCACCTTCTGCAATAGCTGAGACTTCAGGAGCACGTAACTGTACCCAGCCTCAAGGGGAGGAGGTTTTGATGGTGCCTTCTTTAACCACAGATATGCCTGTCTTTATAAAGAATGTTTCTCATTAGTTTTACATAAATTAACTTTTGGTAAAGTAAGTCCTAAGAGTTAACTAATAAAGAACTGTGTGATGGACTGCTTATAAATCAAAGAACTTTTCAGCAACATTAGCAATCAACTCATGTCAATTTGGATGTTCTTTTTTCTGTTTTTCCTACCCTGAAATTTCTTCAAGAAGATTCATCTCAGAGGTGCAGCCTGGGAAGACCTTCTGCCTGGGACTTGACTAGTTGCTGGGACACCTGCTGCACAACTTGGCCATGCGTATGTGGGCCTGAGCAGAGCACTTCTTAATGAAACTCTCCCTACAGAAGATTGCTCTGTGGTCACTTGTAGGCCCATTCTGCATTTGGAGACCAAGGAGAAGAGAGAGACAAGACCTGCTCATGGCCACAGTGTCTAAACCAGGGAGACTCTCCCAACCCACAGTACTGGTTCTGTCTAGCAGACTCTTCTTTCTGTCACTACTGTAGGGCAGGCTGGGGTAGCAGGGCTACGTGAGAATTCTGTGTACCAAGGACAAGTGAAGACCCTGGCCCCAGGTGGTGAGGGACTCAGGACTACAAAAGGTGGCTAAGCAAGCTCAGGGTTTAGGGGGGCTAGTTACCCTGCACTTGAGCTTGTATTCTTTCAGGATGGCAGTGAACTGCTCTTCCTGGGCCAGGATCTCCATGCTCGGAGGCTCCAGCTGAAAGTGAGAAAAATGGGCACGTTAGCATACCTGGGTCCTTGGGTTCTACTCCAGCATCTAGATATACACACAAGCAGCACAGGCAGTGATGGCCAGGACCTTGGCCACGTGAGACCCTCCTTTAGTCCTGACTCAGATCCATCCCTCCCAGGCATTCCTCTGAAGATTCAGAATAGCAAAAGTGCTTGCCTTGTCCTTCAGCACAAACTGCAGGTCACTCTTCAAGTTCAGGACCAGCTTCTCTGAATCTGAAAGCTTTTCCACCATTTCAATGATCTCCTTCTGTAATCGGCTGTTTTCCTAGGAGACAGGCAGGTGTTGACTGGACTCAGGAAAAGAGGAAGACATTGGCATGTCTTCATGCCACTTCCCTGTAGGGTAGAGGCTTGTTCGAAGCAGCATTTGTGATCAGGAAGAGCCCTCTGAAAGGAAGGGCATGTGGTGCCTGCTGTCTCCGTACTGAGCGGGCAGGGATGTGTTGCTGTTGGAGCCCACAGCATCCCAGGCCAGGCTCCAACACCTCCAATGTGATAAGTTCTTTTTTCTTGTTCCTACCCCCATGTTCAGAAAGGTCATGAGTGACATAGGAGCTGGGGATGTATCACTTTTTAAAAAAAAATTTATTATTTTTATTTTATGTGTATGTGTGTATTGCCTGCATGTAGGTAAGTGCACTCGTGTCGTGCAATGCCCGCGGAGGTCAGAAGAGGCTGTCGGATCCCCTGGGACTGGAGCTACGGACAGTTGTTAGCTGCCATGTGAGTGCTGGGATTTGAACCCAGGTTTTCCGCAAGAATGACCAGTGTTCTTAACCACTGAACCATCTCTCAAGCCCCTGGGCTGTATCACTTTTAAGCTGCCTTCTAAATGATGGGTTTGAAATTGAATGTCTCAGAGATTCAGCAATGTAGGAGCAGGTGTCTCCAGACACTGGCTGGGCTGAAAGGTCAAGACAGCATCATCATACTGGTGGGTGGTGTAGGTTGGGCTCTTCCTAACACAAATGAGCTGAGGCTACTGGAGGGAGAGTAGAAGTGAAGGAGGCCATGAAGCTCCCCAGATACAAGGAAATGAGAAACTAGGAGCTGAAGAGGAAGAAGGCACACAGGCATGCAGGTGAGTGCCCCTGAACCCTGGCAGTCCACAGCCTGAACAGTTTCTGAGAGCCAAGGGCAGGGTAGGTACAAGGTATGAAACACTCACTAGACCCCTCAAAGCCATGTCTGCTCCATGCCATGGCAGGTAGTGTCTGCTGGTATTTTTGGACTCCATGCTGGTTATAGTAGATGACCCATTCTGATTTGGGGGTCTTCCTAACTCAGAGCAAAGGAGAAAGGGGTGATGGGGGTGGGTCTTGCAAAGCCAAGACCTCCTTCTCTGGCTGAGAGCATGATGCCATCTTGCTATAGCAACATTTGCCTTCACAGTGTGTCACAGGGATGCGTCCACCTACCTTCAGGGCCAAGGTCAGTTTCTCACGGAGGCTGGCCTCCTCGGCCTGCAGGCGGCTCACATCCTGCTCCAGCACAGCCTTCTGCCTGCGGGCTTGCTCCCAGAACATCTCCCTCTCCATTTCTACCTCAGACCGCAGGAGGCTCAGCCTTCCCCTGTACTCCTGCTCCAGGTGCCTGTAACACAGCACACAATACACAGTGGCACTTGGAACCCTGTCCTTGGAAGTCCTCCTCTGTTGGACCCTGTGAGTCTTAGCAGATGAACTGCCTATGCTGGAAGTAGGCATGATAGTGGATATTCTTCCTTCTTATCTGGTAGAGGTCAATCCTACACAAGATGCGTTAGAGCGGGTTACATGGCAAATACTTAAGGTATCTTGAAACCCTGGGGTAAATGGGCAGAGCTCTCTAAATGGGCTGTTCAATACTAGTTATTCTCTGCCTCTCCGCTTACTTCACGCCGATCTACAGTGGCCCAGCGGAAGACCTTTAATGCCAGATGCACTTGTAAGTCAGAGTCCCTCCCCAGGAAACCTGTGGAAAGTGAATTCCCAGTAATCAAAGGAAGAGGTTCAGGCACTTCCCTCTCAGATTCTTCTCTCATCTTCTGCAACAACCATTGCTAACAGCAGGAAAAGAGGGTCGGGGTTAACACTGGCTGCCACACGGCTTTGTCAGGTCTATCTAGACTACAGGTGAGAGATGTCAGCTTCAGCAGGAAGCCTTGGCAGGGTTAGTAATTAAGCCAAAAGAAACTGTGGGTTCCTTCCAGCTGACAAAGCTTTGACTTTTATTTCAACTCAGAGCTTTCCAGAAACTTTCCCCCCGAAAATTTTCCAGGTTTCCCCAAAGGGGAAGAGGATGCTGTGATTTAGGGAAAGATACAATGAATCTGATTTATGCTCTACAAAGTTTGGGGGAGTTTTTTAAAAAATACCTTCATGCTCTGCTTCCCTGGATGGCATGGCCAACAGCTGCCCAAGACCAGGATTTTCCTGGGCCCTGCTCTCAGGCCAGTCCAGCCCCCAAATTCCTGAGGACAACATTTTTTCCTGAAGGGATCCAGACCTTAGGAGAAAGCCTGAGAGCATCTTATCCTCATCTAACTTTGGCCTCTGTGGGAACTCCTGAAGACAAAAGCAATTTCACCACTCCATATAAAATCAAAAGAGAGAACCGAAGGCTAGACCAACCAGATTTTCATGCCCAACAAGTAAACCGCAAAGTCACATAAAACTTACAAAAAGCAGACCTAAACTTGAAGGCTTGAGTCTCACACAAGAATCAGAAACTATAAAAGAAATTCACATATCAAAGTCACAGAGAAAAAATAATAACATGAAAAACCAAAATAACATATCCACACCAAATACCAATAGTCCTCTAGAGGCATACAGTGAGAACCCCCTAGAGATAATGCAAGACATGGAACTCAAAAGAACAATTATAAACGCGATAAAAGAAACCAATGAACTTAAAGAACACACAAACAAATCAAAGAACTGAAGGAAGATAGGGATAAACTTCTGAATGAATTCAGAAAAGAGTTAGAAATATTGAAGAATACTCAGGCTGAAATGAAGAAGTGAAACATTCAGTAACCAATTAGAAACAACAGGAGAAAGCCTCACCGATAGGATGAATGAAATAGAAAACAGAGCATCAAGACTGGAAGACAAAGTGGACGAACTAGACCACTCAAACAAAGATTATGAAAATTTTAAGAAAACGCAAGAATGGAATACACAAGAATTGAGTGACACCATAAAAAGACCAAACTTATGAATCATAGGCATACAGGAAGGAGAAGAATCTCAAGATAACGGTATAGACCAGATCTTCAACAGAACTGCAGAAGAAAATTTCCCCAAATTAAAGAAAGACATGACCATACAAACACAAGAAGCATATAGAACACCAAAAAGACAGGACCAGAAAAAAAACTCTCCACGGCACATCATAGTAAAAACACTAAGCATACAGAACAAAGAGAGAATACGGAAAGCTGCAAAAGAGAAAGAAAGCCTGAAGAGCCTGGACCAAAGTATTCCCAGTTTTAAATAACCACAAATGCCAATCCAGATTACTACACCCAGCCAGAATGCCTACTATAGTCGAAGGGAAAAGAAAAATCTTCAATGACATAAATAGGCTGAAGGAATTCATGTCCACAAAACCAGCCCTTCAGAGAGTTCTCGAAGCAATACAAAGAGCAGAAGGGAATGACTATACCCAAGGGGTTCTGAAAAGAAATTCAATGAAGGTGTAACTGTGGAAAAGCACAGCTATATCAAGATGTGAACAGAAATAAAAATGACAGGATTTAATACACATCTTTCATTAATAACTTTAAATATCAATGGACTGAACTCCCCAGTCAAAAGACACACACTAGGTGAATGGATTAAGAAACAAAACCCACCTGGGTGTGGTGTTGCACGCCTGTAGTCCCAGCACTTGGGAGGCAGAGGCAGGCAGATCTCTGTGAGTTCAAGGCCAGCCTGGTCTACATAGTGAGTTCCAGGACAGCTGAGGGCTACAGGGAAGACCCTGCTTCATAAAGACAAAAAAAGAAACAAAACCCATTTTTTTTGTTGTCTGCAAGAAACTCATCTCACTTTCAAGGACAGGTGCTACCTTAAGGTGAAAGGATGGAAAAAAATATACCAAGTGAATGGTACTAAGAAAAAAGCAGGTGTTGTAATTCTAATAGCTGATGAAATAGACTTTAAAACTAATCTGAAGAGATAAAGAGGGCCACTTCATTCTAATCAAAGGAACAATAAACCAAGAAGATATTACAATCATGAACATATAGTCACCAAACTCTGGTGCACCCAACTTCATAAAATCAATACTACAGGACTTTAAGACGCAGATTAATCCCAACTCACTAATAGTAGGGACTTCAATACCCCACTGTCTCCATTAGATAGGTCAAAAGAGAAGAGAGTTAACAGAGACACATCTAAATTAAACAATACTACATATCAAATGGACCTAACAGACATCGACCGAGTATTCCACTCAAACACCAAAGACATACTTTCTACTCAGCACCCCACACAAGCTTCTCCAAAATCGACCATATACTGGGGCACAAAACAAACCTCAACAAATACAAAAAGACTGAAATAATTCCATGCATTCTATCAGACCACAATGCAATAAAGCTTACAATCAACACAGGAAGAAGCCCTAGTCACCACATGAAGATATGGAGATTAAA